AAAATGGTAATTTTCTGAATTGTCAAACTTGTTTACATTGGTGTAATTTGACATTTCTCGTTTGACATTTTATGTTTCTCAAGCAACCACAAAATACATGGAAGGGTTGCATTTGCTATTCTGCTATTACCTGTTTATTGTGCCATGCATCAAACCGTGGTTGGGTACATTTGACAATACAATCTGCTGATATTTACAAATAAACGCCTGTATGCAGCTCTCAAGAAAAGCAAAAACTCCATATAAAATAACGTACAAGAAATGGCTAAAGGCCTGTATGCAGCTCTCAAGAAAAGCAAACACTCCATATAAAATGACGTTCAAGAAATGGCCAAGAAATTTTCTTGAGTAAAATTTCCTTAAGGCAGTACGCAGTTCTTAAGAAATTTACTACGCTTTCTACTACGGTTTTCTAAAGTTTTTTGTGATAAAAGAGCACAAGGCAACCCAGGCTTGCAACAGAAATAAATGCCGTTCCATTATTTCTTGATGAAAGAGTGAGGCAACAGGCTGTGAGGTATCAAAAATGTCAAAATTCCTTGGACACACACGCGAAATAATGGCAATTTTTTCTTGACCGTTTTCTTGAAAGAAAGTTTCTTGAGTCAAATTTCCTTAAAGCAGTACGCAGTTCTTAAGAAATTTACTACGCTTTCTACTACGGTTTTCTAAAGTTTTCTTGTGAAAAAAGGGCACAAGGCAACCCAGGTTTGCAACAGAAATATATGCCCGTTCCATTATTTCTTCAGGAAAGAGTGAGGCAACAGGCTGTGAAGTATGAAAAATTTCAAAATTCCTTGGGCACACACACGAAATAATGGCAATTTTTGCTTGACCGTTTTCTTGAGAGCTGCATACAGGGCTTAAAAGAGACTGATGCTTTGTATTTTGACGTTTTGGAATGCACCCTAATTTTCAGGCTGACATTTGTAATTTCGGCGCCATGTTATTTTCTTTGAAAAGTAAGCAAAGAATATGAGACGAAGCATAAAGAAAAATAAAGCAAGCAATTTTGTAGCACATGTTTGTGCTAACCAATTTATTATTTTTGTATGTGTTTTTGCAACCAATCACCGCGCACTTCATTTTAATTACATTTGCACAAAAAATTTATTGAAAATTGCTTTAAAATCAGTGAAATAAACCACCGACGAAATACACATAAAGAAAGAAGCAAAACAGAAATAGCAAACTTCAAAATTACGAACGCCACACACTTTTTTCTCAATTGCTATTACAAATGGCTGCTTCTCAACCGGTCAAATCTGTTCTAATTGGTTCAGGAATGTACACTGTACATACTTATACCATGTTCGGACCGACAACGAAACAATTTGAAAGCGAGTTTTGGGATTGTGGGCTGAAAGCTGTGAGTTTTCATGTAGTTTTCAGCGAAAACTGGTTTTTGTTTGACAGATTTTACATGGACGAAAACACAAGTTTTAGGTCGAAAACCAGCTATAGCAAAGAAAACTCGTTTTCGATGCTGGTCCGAACATGGTATTAGGGGATTCCTTTAGGCCCAATTTCAGATGGCCTATTTAGATTGTTGATTAACTTCAACAATTCATTTTCAGATCACATATTTAAGTTGCACATAAGTGGGCAATATTGACTATTTATTTATTTTATTTATTTATTTTTTTAAATTTATTTATTTAGTCTACAGAATTCAATTCTTACAGACTCATTAGAACTATTAAAATAATTAATTAAATTGCATAAACAAATTTAATTTAAACTTATTAATATTCAGATCAAAATGAATTAAACTTGAGTATGTATTACAAAGACTAACACATCTAGAAATTGGTTCATTATCACCATAATTCGTAGAGTGCGTTGCACATTCAAACAGCCGATTATTCCTCAGGTTTCGCGGTGGAATATACAATTTGAGCAAATTTGCAAGATACGTACAATTAATACGACCATTAATAATATTGTATATAAAAATTATAGAGAAAAACGTTCTCCTGTCATGCAAGGATTGCAATCCAAGTAACTTCCGCCTCTCAATATAAGAGGGGAGGAAACTATGCCACGATAACTTACACAAAGCGATCTTTGTGAATACCTTTTGAACGCGTTCTATTCTATTCGAATGTATGTCGTAATAGGGACTCCATATTAGAGAACAATATTCAAGGCGACTCCGGACAAGTGATATATAGAGAGATTTCAAAGTAAAGTAAATGTATAAGTATTTAAATATGATATATACAACCCTGTGTCTGTGCCATACAACCAAGATTGATTGGTAGGTGGGTCAATCAATCCCAACAAGTCCCACCAAAAATCAGTCGGCTGTTCAGCACAAAATGTAAACAAACAAGCAAATGCAACAACAATTTCAAGGAACTTGCAGCAGTGCTGCCAATTGTTTGGCATATTTAAACAAAGTTGATCTGAAACCCAACGAAATCTAAATGGCATTTAAACAACAATCCACAATTAAACTTAAACTCGTAGTCTTAAACCGTGTAAAACTCGTAAGTTTACAAGGCTTTTATGGGAATGCCCCCTTTGCGCAAAGGTGTAAATAGCTGCGTATAGTGATTGTTTGACAGAACAACCAGCATTTTTTTAAGCAATTTTTTTCGTAGTATTTTCCATAACATCCCGCCATCTTGTCTCTATCATTCTTGGCTAAAATACAATTAAAAATGACGAAAATTAGCACAAATCCCAAGTCAATATATACTAGATTTATACGTAAGCTATTTGCAAATAAAAATAATTTGCAAATACCTAACTCACTGTTTATTCGATGGTGGAAAATGGCAACGCCTTGATTATAAAAAGGCAATAAGATGATCATCGAAAAAGAAAATAAACCTAAGAATGGCGGCGTTTTGCGCTTATTTGCAAATAGTACCACTAATCAATACCTATTTGAGTGATTTAGTTATTTGCAAATCAAAAATTAACTCATCGTTTATACGGCAAATTTTACCATTTTGCAAATTGTTATTTGCAAATAAAACGTGCGTATAAACGTAATAACAGTTTGTGTATGAATTCATTAATTTTGCTCGCGTATTATTTTTTTCATTTATTTTCATTATTTTATCATACATTTTAGTAAAAAAATTTCGGCCCCTCAGCTGAACACTGAAGTTTGCAAGGTCGTTTGCGCATCAAATTTGCCTCGTAAATTTATGAGGAGCTCGGAAATAGAGCTCCATATAAATTTTGACAGTTCTTTTACAAGTCTCGTAAATTTACGAGCTTTACTAAGGGCCGGTTACTCAATGTCTGGTTGACAATAATCTGCGGTTAAACATCGTCATCGACGTCTTCGACTCCATGCATACAACAGGGAGTCGGTAACGTCGATAACTATGTTTAACCGGAGGTTAGTGTTAACCAGACATTGAGTAACCGGCCCTAAGTTTACAAGTTTAAGGGAAGACCCATACTAAAATTATTTTGTATGCTTCCAAACTCTTAGCTCTAGTAACTATTCTAAATATAGATTATTCACTATTTAAGCACTATAAAGGTACGACCGCACTAAGTGACGCGACACGGCGCGACACTTTTTGGCATACCGCATTGAAACTGCAGCGGCGCGACACTTCGCTGCATTTTTTTTTTATTTATTTGCGTCAAAACCTTCAAACAATATGGATGCCAGTGACGCTGATGTAATGTTAATGCCTTTGTAATGTTCCCTACCCACTTGTAAACTAATTATTTATTCAAGTTTATATGTATCACCCAGTAGTTGTCATTTGTAGATATAAGATACACTAAACACTCTGTACCGAAAGAAGGAGCCATTTTATCCTTCTTCTTCCGGTGACAGCTCAAACGAGGAGACGTGCCAGAAAAATAGTAAGAAATAAATCGAAGTAT